TCTTTTTGGAAGCTTCCTCCATCAGAGGCAGGGGAGCAAACTGCTGGTTGTTAATCTCCAGCAAGGTAGCAGCGGATGAGGTAAGAGGGGGAGTCGAGAAATCAGATGACTTGGATGAAGTGGCCATTGTAGTGAGCTTAGAAAAACAGAAAGGGAAGAGTTAACGGATGAGGTAACAGGGACGAAGGCAGGAGCTCAAGGGAGAAGATGAGATTGCAAAGAAGGTGATAGTTCGCGTAAAGACCAGAGTAAAGACCAAGGAAAGGTTAAAAGGAAATCGTCTAGGGAGTTGGAAGCGACGGAAGGGAAAGGTAATTAATGTAACTTGTACTGAAAGGCAACAAGACTGACGAGACGGCGACGTAAAGTGGAAAAGAAACCTAAAACCCCTTTTAACCCTAGAACCCCAGAAACCCTAAACCCTAAATCCTGTGGGCTTTCAAACACTAAGGCGGGAATATTGAAAGAATATAAAACAGAAATCATTTATATTCTTCCAAGGGGGCATTTTGTTAGTGGCAAATCGAGAAAAGCGATCGAAATCGAAGGAAAGAAATGTGACTCGATAAGATAAACAAAAATTCATTCGATGTCTAATTAGAAATACGTAGCACATAGCATCGAGAAGCACAATCGAGAATCGAATGAATTATAATCAAATGACTGTTGTCGAATAAAAACTAAGTCATATAAGACCAGGGTTAAAAAGGAATCGTAAGCAATTCGAAGTTCTCGAAAAATACAGAATCGAGAGAAAAGAAAGCCAATATGGACATCGAGACTTTGGCCAAATCGTGAAAGGAAGTAAGTCGAATGCACGTATAAAGAGCAGTTTTGAAATCATGGGAAAAGTCAGAGATCGTGAGAACGTGGGAAACTATAGAAGATAAACTGCCATACGCACGTAGAACGTGGTAGCAGTCGCGTTAACTGCTCTCGGAAGGCTTGAAGGATGCCCTATAAATAGAGCAAAGGAGGAAGGAACAGGGGAGCAGAAATTGGCAGAGAACAGGATCAGTAGTGAAAAGTCTACCGGAGAAACGACGAACACCATGAAGCTTCTGGCAATCTGGATTTCCTTGCTCACTGAGTACATTTACCGCTTTCTGTATTTTCCTTGGTAATTTATTTTGATGCAACTTAAATTCAGCAATTTTATGTTTCTGTATTTTCAATTCCTTGTCCATTTCAATTCAATGAAAATTTGAGTTTCTGCATTTAGATTTCCATGTTATTTAACATCCTGCAAATCTCAATTTCCTGTCATTTACTTTTCTTGCAATCTCGATTTCTTGTCATTTATATTTGCGTTGTTTTCGATTTCTTGCTATTTACAATTAATGCAAGTTTGGGGTTTTCGCACTTTACATTTCCTCGCAATTTAACATTCTGCTTTTTCGATTCGATAGTCTTAATGCTTTCGAGACTTTAAATACAAAACACCAAAAACAGCGTTTTCGATATTCTGTGATTTTCTATTCTCATACACGTTTTCGATTGAAAATCAAATTGCTAGCCTAAGTAAAAAGAGCTTACGTGGGAGGATTTCGATTAAAGACCAAAATACCCTTAGAATCGAAATTGATCGAAATTCCCGAAACAATAATATAATGTAAATATTTATAATATAACTTATAATTTAATATAAATATTTAATTTCTGAAAATCAAATATTTGTTCGCATGGCCTCACACAATATTTAGGTCATTTATGTTTGTATAATAAAAAATGCTATAATTAATTTTCTTTAACTGAAAATCTAGTTTTCTAAATATGGTTTCAAAAGATATTTTTTATTACAAATGTCTAAATCTACTAATAAGACCAAACGTTAAAATTTTTTATTTATAAAATAATTGTCTAAATCAAAACATTTATCCTTCACTAATTTAAAATTCATTCCAATAATACTCCTAAAAACATAGCTTTTTACATGTTTTCCTATTTTCTTTTTTAAATATATATTTTTTTAAGAATTACAAATATATAATATTTTATATTTAAATGGTACTATTTCACAGTTGGATAATAATTATTAATAGATAATTATTCATTTTATATTACAGTTTTTCAATCATTATATTAATTGATATAATGAAAGTATGAGGTTTACTTAAAATTATAATATTTTAATTTATTATAAATTTGATTGTTCACTCCAACTAATTTTTAATAATTAAATGAATGAGAAAATATAGAATATATTTTGTAGGACGGTGACTCCTCGTGGCTGAAAAAGCTTCCCATTAGTGACATACACCCAAACCTAAAAATTCATAAAGTTCTTCCACCTCCCGAGACTTAAATCACCTTTGAATTTTATTCTTTTTTATTCCTGCTGCATTTCTGAACAAAAAAATGGCACTTTTAGCTTATATGTTTGTCCATTTATATCATTTTATTAAAAAAATAAAAGAATCTGTCAAAAAATTATATAGAAATGATATTGTGACGGAGAAGTGATTAGTACGAGTTGTCGATATTTAATCTATGACATCGATCTTGTAGAGTATCATTTCATTGTCACACCAATACCAATATACAGTGTTATCCTCCCAAAAGTAAAATATAAAACGCATATTTATAAGTGAGTAATTGAATTATTAAAATTAATTAATAATTAAACATAATTATAATTTTTAAAATTATCTACGATTTGATCATGTTATCATTAGAGTTAAATATATTTTTAATTTTTTAAATTTGGATTATTTTTTAATTTAGATAACCTTACACAGGAATCCGGCGTTTTCAACTTTTCACACTCGCTTTTTATCTGGTGTCGGCCACATTATATGAATGGGTTGCTTTTAATTTTTTGTTTTCTTTGTTAAATTTAGATAAAATAAAAAATAACATTAGAATATAGTATTTTTGTCTGTTTATATAATTATATTAAAAATAAAAGAACTTGTAAAATAAAATCAAAATAATATTATGTAATTAAAAAGAGACGTCAGAAATAAAATCTTTTGTTAATATTAATTGATACGTGAAATTGGTATTTATGGATAATAGATATAAATATTTTAATTAATTTTAATATAATGGACTTACATATTATAATATTTAATTTATAAATATTTTTTATTTATTATTTTTTAAAATAAAATTATCAAATAAAAATATTAGTAATAAAATTAATTATTATAAAAATTATTTAAAATTATAATTTATATATTTTTATTTTAATTTTAATTTTTAAAATTAAAATTTTGAAAAAATAATATTAAAATTTATTCTTTATATTATAAATTATTAAATTTTTACTTTATGAAGATTAATTCTATTTATTTATGATTTAACTTTATTTAAAAATAATAATTTTTAACATAAAATAAAAATATCAATAAATATTCATAAATATAAAAAATATATAAATATTTTTTAAATTAGTATTGAACGGTAAGGAGATAAATAATAGATGAGTGATTTTTTACTTACTGTGGATGAAAAGTAGATATTATCGTGGATAACCAGTAAATAGACATTATCTGTCTTGTCCCATTGCAGGGTACATGTAATATTTAATATAGGAAGTAGGTTAGGATTTGATTTCATTGTCACATCAATATTAATAAATAGTGGCAGGAGATCGGCAATCTCTATCTAAGAATCCCAAGTAAAATTATAAAATGATGTCAGGTAGTTGAATTATTTGGATCAAAATTCAACAAATAAAAAAGAAAAAAAAACTTAAATTTAAAATTAATCAAAATGTAAAATATATAATCAAAATACTATTTTTTTCAATGGTTATTAAATTTTTCTCTGAATTAAACATTTTAGTACAAATTTTAAATTAAAAATAAAATTATAATTTATCTAAATTTAATAATATATTATTTTTTTAACTATTATATTTTAAAATTTCATTAATAATTAAACATAAACATATTTTTTTAAAATTTATGATTTAATTATATTATTATTAGACTGAAATATGTTTTATTTTTTAAATTTGAATTATTTATTTTATTTTATAAATTAAAATTTTATTTTATTTGAATTTAAAAAATATTTTTTTAACATTAACAAACTTATATGCATTCATTTTAATTATATTATTATTAGACTGAAATATGTTTTATTTTTTAAATTTGAATTATTTATTTTATTTTATAAATTAAAATTTTATTTTATTTGAATTTAAAAATATTTTTTTAACATTAACAAACTTATATGCTTTCATTGCTGATTAACCAAATTCACAATATAAATATGTGATTAATATAATAAGACGAAAATCATATTTTAATTATTTTTTTACTAAAATATCTTATAAGTCCTTAAAAATAGTTCAAATTTTATTGTAATTTAATTAATTTAATTTTTTTTTCAAGGTCTTCAATTATTCTTCTAAATTTAAAATATATTTTTAATCTCTCAAATTTAAAATTGTTTTTAGTATCTCAAATTTAAAATTCTTTTTGGTCCCTAAAATTAATATAATTTAAAATTGAGCGTGTACCTTTTATTTTTATTCAATCTCTTTAAAAAAAATATTTTTTTAAAAAAGTTGATTAGTATATTATTTTAAGTCAACTTTTTTTAATATATAAATAAATAAGTTCTCCTAATATGTTATTTAGTTGGGTTTAATTTGATTTAATTTTTTTATTTTTAATATGAAATTTTAATTAAATAAATCTAATTTTAATTTATTTAAATTATTTTATTAATTCATGATTATTTTTTGTCGGTATAATTTTAAACGCTCTTACCTAATTGGTGCACACACTTCCACGCCTTGTGTTTACTCTTTCTATGCCCCTACACCCATGAAAGCGGAAGCTTTGATTTTTCTAAGCCCATGAAAGCGGAAGCTTTGATTTTTCTAAGCCCATGAAAACGGAAGATTTTAGTTTTCTAAACTCAGACTAGTTTCACTTGCTTTCAATTTTATTATCAAACAATTTAAATTAAATTAAAATAACAATAATGATTTTATCTAATTTTTTCTTTGCCCGTCAAGGAACCTCGAGATGCTAATCCACGAAATGGAAGCAACACGTGGAAATACATAGGTTTCTTACTCATAATGCAAAGGAATAATTTTTTTTTTAAACTTGGATAACTTCACTCATCATGCAAAGAAACTTTTTTTTTTTTTTGTCAACTTTGATAACTTCACTCATCATGCAAAGAGACTGTTTTTTTTTTTTTTTTTTTTTGTCAACTTTGATAACTTCACTCATCATGCAAAGGAACTATTTTTTTGCCAACTTGGATAACTCATAACCAAGTTTGTCCCATAAATCAGTAGGAAAGGAAGATCATAATCTTTACAAAAGAATTTATAAAACTTTTGTCTTGATTCATATCAGAAGGAGATGATTTCTATTGTTTATTTAAATGCACATCTATTTATTTTTAAATTTCACACACTTTTAAATAAGAGAATCTACATATAAGTTAACTAACTTTTCTATATTATATTCAACATGATCAAATACCTAAGTATATTAAAAGAGATTTCTTTAGAAACAAGTTTAGTTGACACAAGAGTATAAATTCATTTAGCTTTTACTTTTGATTTAATCCCATTGTAATCTTGGATTGCTTTACCAAATTTTAATAACATACAGCATTTGTATTGCCAAAACATAATTTATTTAAGTTTCATGAATGCAAGTCACATCATATTAATGAAAAATAAAAAAAAGGGAATCGATAAGTTTTTGCAATGATATGTTTGTCAGAATTTTGTAATGTAAGAGAAATTTTCGAAACTATAATCAAATGTTAGTGTGTAACATGTAAGCTAGATTAGAGATTTGATTTATTATATATTTATTATGTTTAATTTATTTTTTCAAGGGTGGAATTTCAAAATATTTATGATATTAATAGAAAAATTTTACCAAATTTATTATTGTTAATATAATTTATTATAATCTTGTTGTTAATAGATGATTTCTACGACATCAATATAAAAATAAAATAAAAACTCTTATTTTCAAATCTATTATGTTTTATAGCACTCCCTATGTAGAAAAGAATCATATTTTAAATCTCATGATGCAAATATTGATCATGTTTATTTATTGTATTGCATAATTTGACTTTATTATGTTATTATGTGACTGGCCATACATCATGCATTGTGAATTTCATCTCATAAGCCACTAAAATGATCTACTTGGTCTATCGCAATTGTTTTAACAAATTAAATTGATTTTTTTTAACCTTTAAAAATAAGATGAGGGTTACGTTGATAAATTAAAATCAATTAATGAAACTTCTCTTGCAGCAGCCCCTCCTGTTATTATCTCAGCATTTGCCATGTGACGGTTTGAATTCCGTTATTTAATTGAATTTTAAATAATAAAATAATAAATGACTTAATGTCCTTAAAATAAAATAAAGTTGGATTATTTGAGAAAGAAAAATTAATATGAAGTTCATTTTGATTGACAAACATTTTATATATGAATGTTTATAAAAAATTTAAATAGAGACACAAGAACAAATTTTATAATTAGTTATAATTAGTTAGGAAAATTAATTATATTAGAAAAATTTTTGTCACTAATCTCTCGCTATAAATATTAGCTATATTACTTTTTGAAGCTATTTCCTAACTAAATTGTGTAACATACAATTATAGTAATTGTATAGTTAAACTGTAGCAAATTTATAACAACTATCAAATTGAAAAAAATATTAAATTATTGGAACCATTCTTATAAATTATTTTAGTTTTATAAAAAATTATTTATAATACTTGTAAATTTCTCTAAAAATATATAATTATAAAAAATAATTTTTGATCTTTTTGAAAAAATATCAATAAAAATTAATTACAATTTTTTCTTAAAAAAATATTTTTACCAAATTTACTATAAATATATAATTATATATATATATATATATATAAATTATTTTTTTTATCTAAAATAAATTATTTAGAAATAATTATATTTTTTTTGAAAAAATATCTAAAAAAATTGATAAATATTTAAAATTATTTTTTGTAAGTTTTTTATAAATTTAAATTTGTTAGAAATATTTAATAATATTTAAATTAATAGAAAATTTTTATAAATAATATTTTTTTATAATTTTTTTAAAAACTATTCTTTATAAGAAATAAAAAAAATTTATATTCAGAAATACTCATTTATTTATTTTTTTATAATTCTTTTAATAAAAATCTAAATTATTTTTTTTTCATCCTCTTCATACTTAATTTTCTCGTACCTAAGGCATCGCTGCCTCTCTCCCTCCCGTGCTTGCTCCTTTCCCTTGCCGCTCCCTGCCGCTGTTGCCGCTCCCTCGCTCGCTGCTGCTGCTGCCGCTCCTTGCCCCTACTGCTGTCGCCACCATCCACTGCTGCTGCCGCTCGCCGCTCCCTGCTGCTCTTGCTCCGCTCCTGCGTCGTCCTGTGCCGCGGTTTTTTGGTTTTGTTTAAGCGTGCAAAATGTTTCCTGTGGTTTTATAAATATTGTAATAATTTTGTTTCGGGGCTTATGATCGTGCTCGCGATCAAGTTTCGCGGGTTGATGCGGACATCAATTTTAACGTTAGTGACTACGATCAGGATATAAAGCAGGTTGTGAGTACTGAACACTGAAGTGGTTTTCGTGTGTTGGTTGTTTAAGAAGCTTGAATGGAATTTTGTAATTGTGGATTTGATTTTCGATTATTGCGATGTGCAGGTGAGTAATTTCACGAAGGACGAGTTTGTGCATATTCTGCGTCGACAAAGCACTGGTTTTTCAAGGGGAAGCTCCAAATACAGGGGAGTTACTCTGCATAAGTGCGGGCGATGGGAAGCTCGTATGGGGCAGTTTCTGAGTAAAAAGTGAGAAAACAAATATATTTGGTTGAATTAAGTGATGGATGAACTTCACATGCTCTACCCATTTTTTCATTAGTTTTCGATTTTACTATGAATTAAGTGAGATTGTGTAAGCTGGTTTAGTTGGTGATAGATCAGAATTCAATTTTAAAGTTGTCCAGGGTTTATTGCTGCAGGTATATATATATCTTGGGCTATTTGACAGCGAGTTAGAGGCTGCAAGGTTTTACCAATCGTATATCAGAATATCTTTCAGACTAAATTCCTAAACATTTTGGATTCCATGTATATACAAACACACGCATAGTGTACTATTTTTGGAAGAGAATCTAGGTTGAATTGGTATGGTATCAGTTAGGAAATGTTTGTTGCATACGAGGAAAAATGACATTCTTAAAAGAAATACATGACATCCCTAAAATACTACGATCGGAAACGTTATTTTATAGACAAACTAGGGTGTAAATATGTGTTGGATAGATGGAGAACAAATATTCAGAGGAAGCATGTTTATATAAAAACGAGCTATGGTGTCAGCATTTTGAACCTCATGTGCAGAGGTTTCAACTGTTATGCAATCAATTCAATAGTATTGTTGTTTCTGCTGCTGAATTCGAGGGTACAAGTTCTTTTGTGAAGGATACCCTATATAACTTAAAGGAGAAACTCGAAGTATGGACATTGTTACTGAGAAACTCTTCTCATGTCGACGTAGAGAAAGGCAAATAATATGATAGATTGGACATGAAGTTTTCAAGGATTTAATATTACTTCAATTAATGTAAATATGACTAATTGTAATTGTAAAAATTATCTTATGGATTTTCGTTATCATAGATTCTTAAAATTTTTGAATGGTTACTATTGATGCTTTTTAATTATATCTAACTAGTTTTCGTGCAATACGAGAGGGACATATGCAAAGAATTTTTAAGATAATTTAGCAATTGTATTAATGATATATATCTATATTCAAATTAATAAAAGAACAAATTAAAATTCGGGTAGCTGTTAAATAACTACCCGGATTTAAAACACTAGTTGAAACCAAGTTTTATTCATCTGCCAAGAATCAGCATTTTCAGTCTACTTGGTTGGCTACTAAAAAGCTTCAGTTACTATACACATCAGTTGTTTGCATGTTTACGCTAATAACTTTTTGATATATTCAAAATCAAATTTTTTTTCTTAAATTGCAGGTTGAGGCACATCCTAGGCAGGTTGGTTACAAACAGCTTTGGTTTCATCACTTGTTATTTTACTCTATCTGATATTCTTCTCATTTCATAGCTGCATAATTGGGTTGGGGGTCCTCCTAATCTCTATGATATAAGTGGAAGTTCACACTTCATAAATAAGTGTGACAATAGAATTGTTATTCACCGAAATCGGGATCCTGAAGCTGGGCCTATGGACCAAGTACAAGTGAGTGATTGCAGCATAATTGTGCTTATTTTTGTATCATAATAAACAAAATACACTGACTTAGGCTTGTGTCAGGTATGTGTTCGAAAGGTACGGAACAAGGTGGCAGGGACAATAGGTGAAGCCATATTGTTGTATAATGGGTAAATATATTTTGCCTAGACTACTGTGTTAACATAAATTCACCTATTTTTTAATAAGTAGAGTTTCATTATACTGGAGTACATGATCGGGGATTATGATGAAACTTATCGTAATCTCTTCACTCTTAGTGTGAATATAATGGATAGAGTTGGCTCTCTTGCAAAAGATTTTATCCTCATAAACCCTTCAGACTGTGCTACTCCAGTGAAGCACTCTAAACTAGAAAAGTGAGTTCACACCAACAGCTAACGAATTTTCTTTGGCAAATGACAGGACAACTGGTGAGTATACACCATTAGATAACAAGAGATCAACTGATAGAAGGAACTAGCAGTGAGACAAATGATTTTTCAGTAGGCTTGTATAGTGGTCAACAACAACTATGTCTTACAATGAAGTTAACATCTGATACTTGGATCGTGTCTAAACATGGCCATAATGTTTTCATTGGGGTGCCAGGTCGAGATCAACAATGCGAATAGCATCCTTAACATGGTCGGTTGTAGAATATCATTGTTTTGGCTTCATTATTTGAAAATCTTGTATCCTATAGCTGTCCTTTTATACTTGTTACGATCACATCTTGATTTTATTTTCAAGTATTGCATCTTAATCCTTGTATACTGATAGAGAGATTTCTTTGTCGGATATCCTATTCTAGACTTGTCTTTAGTAAAAACATTCATTCTAATTCTTGATGGTATAAATTGTTATTTGCTTTGGTCCTTTTCTATTCTATAAATTGTGATAATAGATTATGTGCAAATGATAAAAAAAATTAACTGAAATAGATTTTATTAAATCAGAGAGAAATGTAATTGACATTTACAATTTCAGAAACTAAATTGAGGATTTACTCGGTGAAGGGTAATACATCCTAGGCAGGTTGAGGCAAGATGACAAGTGGGAACATGATTTCTTTAGCGATGGTGAACCACGGATCACTAGTATGAATAATGTTATTCTCATAGTCAACTATACCTTGCTACTTTTGATGGATGACAATAGCTAATTTTTTTTTTTTTTGGACTTGTTAATGCTTGTGATTGTGAAGATCGCAAAGTTAGAGTTCAAGATCTACACCTCAAGCTTCAAAGGAAAGGTCTTCAATCTGCATCTCAGAGCGGAAAGAGTTATGCTCCAAACATGCGTGTTCTCCGTGAAAGGCTAACAGGAACAATGACAGTACAACCTACAAATGTCGATCTGCCAAAATCAAAAGTTGTTAAACCAAGCAGTAAAAATGTTGGTGTTGAGGTCCCTGCAGTACATATCAAAAGGCCATGAAACAACAAATAAATGCAGTATTTGAAGAAAGATTAATTATCCGCCATAAAGAAACAATGATAAAAATGTACTTTAAACTTTGTTTCTATTTTTAATTGTGTTATATAAAACTTTTTAGTTGAAATATTATTTTTGTTATGTTTTAATTGTTTAAAACATCATTTTAACTATATTTAAACAATACTTTTATATTGACAGTTGATAAGTTTGTCTTCTTTTTTAAAAATGAGTAATAATTTAAATCTTAAATATTTGATATTATAAATTTTGATAAAAATTATGAGGGATTAGTTATGAAATAGCGAGAGAAACATTGTAAAGGATTAACTACGGATTAACGAGGAAATAATTGCGAGGCATTAACCACATATTAGCTAGAAATAAATTGTCAGGGATTAGCTACAGATTAGCGAGAAAAAAAATTGCTAGAGATTAGCTACGGATCAGTGAGAGAAAAATTGTGAGGGATTAGCTACGGATTAGCGAGAAAAAAATTGCGAGGGATTATCTACGAATTAGCGAGAGCGAAATTGCGAGGGATTAACTACGGATTAGCGAAAGCGAAATTGCGAGAGATTAGCTACGGATTAGCTACAAGTTTTGGGAGATCAAATTAGCTAGCGATAAACAAAATTTCATCATTTAAATTAGTGAGGGATTTAGCGACAGTTTAGCGACAAAATTTGCTACAAGTTTGAGAAAGAATACATCTGTATCTAATTAGCTACTTGGATTTAGCTACGGACTATTCCATAGCTATTCCGTAACTAATCTGTAGAAAAACATATCAACGAGAGATTAACTATAAAATAGTTACGAAATGTGTCATAGCTAATATGTAAAATTCTTGTAGTGAGAGACCTCTAAATTCTTAGGAGAATTATTTTATATGTTCTTTTTCTATTATAATAAATTTTTGTATATTGAGTTATATATTTATGTGTTTTAAGATATTGAGATTTTATTTAAGCAAATTGTCTTTGCAAACTTAAATTGATCTAGTGTACATAAATTTATATAATATATGTTTATTATTTAACTTTTAAGTTGTGATTAAAGTTATTTTATATAATTTATAATCAGTTTTAGAAATATGATGTTTATAAAGTAACTTAACCTTCTGATTGGACTAAGGTGAAGATTTGAACGGCAAATTTGTGGTGATTTAAAGTGGATGGTGAGATTGATTGAATCCAGAGAAAAAAATAAATTAAAAGAGACTTGAGTGAATTAATAAAAGTGAATATAAAAAAATTGAATAATAATTTTTTTTGTGTAATAACCAAAATATTTTTGTTATTGTAATAAATAAATTAAGTAGAAATTATAATTATGATATAATTAAATATAAGAATATTAAATAATTTATATTATATATAATATTTAAATATATTAATATTATATTATATATAATGTATAGTTAAAATTATTTTATATATTAACTATAAAATATTTTTCGTTGTAGTTTAAATTATATATTTAAAATTTTTTATATTTTTAATAAATATTGTATTACCTTGATAATAATACATTTTCCTAATTTTTTATTTCACATTAAATATAATAATTAAATAATATTGAAATAACATACAAGGTTGTTATTCAATGTGCGATAATATTAAATAAAATAATATTTTCATTTGTAAGAAATATTAATTACAATTATCCAAATAAACAAATTACAAATTGATAAGACATCTTTTTGCATTCATCCAACATAAAAAAGTAAAGACAAATATTATAGTTAAAGGTGATCATTCAAAAGATTAAACTCACATAACATTTGTCATATATCTGACATAGAAGAATCTAGTGTAACAGAACTCCTCTGAATGATAATGTGCTCACTATATAAGTTTGTTCGCTGACACATGTCAGCGGCTTGAGCCTCTACAACAACAACCTACCCCTCCACCAAGCTTGTCAGCTTAACTAAATATTTATTACTTTCCCTCATCCTATCTACCATTTGGTGGATCCTTGTGTTCATCGCTTCAAACTGTGAATTTAGATCAATATCGACCATGTGGGCTTTCCTCTTAGAGCCCTTGGATGAAAAGGTGCCACCAGATGAGGCAGATCGGACAAATGGCAGAGATGGAGAGACGTCGGGACTGTACAAATCAACTCGTAAAGGACTAGGCTGCATCTTAGTAAATGAGGGAATGTAGTCCTGGTGGAGGAAGGGATTTGCTGCATTTTCATTTAGGTTAATGCCCAAGTCGATTGTGAAACTGCATCATTGCCGAACTTGTCGTGCGGTCCCAATCATGTGCCCCATGGCACGATCAGCTCCCCATAGCTCTTCTAACAAGTCATAAAACTTAATGAAGGTAACCTACCATTTAGTAGCAGAAGGTTTTGCCTTAGATAAAACATTTGAACACACATCTAAACATCGTTGGCTATAATAATTAAAGTGTAAAATAGTTACTTCAACATTAATACCTGAATCAAGTCTTGTTAGACTTCAGATTTAGCTTCAAACATCCTTGTGGCCTCATTACATGCAAAATCGCTTAGGCCACTAAACATATCGTGGACTTCATGCCATTGATCTTTCAAACTTTTCTGCCTATTCTTTACGTTATTCTTGTTGATGCAAGAATAATCAACTTGTCTTAACACTTCTACAATGTTTGTACAGGCCTGACTAGTCTAACTGTCATCTATCCTATTGTCAGCCTAAGCTTCATCAATTATGGCAGTTAGCAATTGTAGATCCATAGCTTCAGTCCATTTTGTAAACTCTTACATGTTATGGCTTGAATCAACCTGTCATTTTTCTCTATTCATTGTTAGCCTAGAAACAACTATTATGGTAGTTTATGTCATTGTTATTATGGTAGGAGGCACAATTTATATATTAAACAAGTGATGATCATACTACATTATAGACCGTCAACTACACTGAAAAATACATTAAAATTAAGAAAATCAAGAAAACATAATGGATATAACATAATTTATTGTTCATAATCATGCCACATTTGGCTTGATATCAAATCCCTTAAGTTAGCCCCTTCCCTATAATCATCCTCTTGAATTTTTGTTGCAGGCCTATCATCCGCACGTTTCTCTAATTCTCGGTCCACTTCATTAGAAAATATTCATCATTATCTACTCCACATAAAAAATTATACAAAATGCAGCATGTCAAAACTATATTCCTCGATGTTTCAAAACTATAGTGGGGTTCAACCTCACTTGCTATAATGAGAAATATTTTCTTTGACACACTGAATGTCTTCTCAATTACATTCCTTAGTGAGGAATGATGGTGATTAAATAATTCTCGACGAGTCGTAGGACCTCTTTGCGTATACTCCTTAAGGTGGTACCTTACCCCCTAATATAGAGTTATAATTTAAGTCTTTAACATAAATCTTGTGTCTCCCAAATAATATTTATCTACATAAAAGACCATTAGTTAATAATCGCTATTAAATGTTTATGTTAACAAATAAGCGTTGTTTTCGTCAAATGTTCCATACCTTCTGGTATGGACAGTGGATCATCCCTTGTTAAGAGTCAGATGCAGTACCTTCCCATCGTGCTAGCACATATGTGAATTTCATGTCCAAATCACACGCATCAAACACATTTTGGGTTGACCAATCTTTTCTACCATGAAAACTTCTTATCGTTGTACTTTGACGCGAACATGTGTTTCATCAATCGCACCAAGACAATCCTTAAAATAGGGATAAAATCTGGGATTGTAATAGATGTGTGCTTGCACATTTGTTCCTGATGGTTAAACCAAAATTTTTTCCTCTAATTCAATTATTGCATTCAACACATTGTGAAAATATTGATTTACTGTCTCACCTGAATTATGAAAGAAAAATGGCATGGTACGATTTTTAACATTTCGTCCTAAAATATGTAAGAATTTTGCAATTTTTTATTCAACTGTTGACCTAAACGCATCTTTCACAACGTTAAATGCTCTTAATTGATAACACAATCTGATGAAGGTGTCAGATCCCATGCTAATAATATCACGACATCGTTCCAAATAAACCAAATATGACATTAACTCATATCTACGATATCTTTTTAAAGACCATGGAGGTTAATGTTATTGGTGTTGCTTATAGACATGTGATCTAACATGTAGGCATGGCAACGAGGCGGGGGCAGGTTTTGCCTCCCCGATCCCCGCCCTCGACTTTTTTACTATCCTCGTCCCCGCCTCCAATCCCCGCTGAGGTTAGAAATTAAGTTTTCATCCCCGTTCTCGTTGGGTTTCGGATTCCCGCCCCGCTCCGTCCCCGATCTATATTATTTTTAAAAAGCTAATTACATTTATAATAAATTAATTTTACTATGTATTTTTTATATATAAATAAATATTTATAATTTTATAATTTATAATTATTATTAATTACATATTTATATATATATTAATTTATATTAAAATATGTATGTACAAGAAATATTTAATCAATTTTTATTTATATATATAACATTATTATTCTTATTATTATAACACTGTATTTGAATACTTATAACATTATTATTATTATTATTATTATTATTATTATTATTATTATTATTATTATAATACTGTATTCAACCATTTGATTATATGTATAAGTTAATTCATTTTTAAGTTGTCATTTAAAGATATGAAATATATAGTTTATAAGGAAATATTTAATAAGTTAATTCTTATTTAATAATTCGCAGTAATAAAAGTTTAAATTATCAATTCCTTTTAATATTTTAAAATACAATTATTTTATTAAAATAAAATTTAATATATGATAAATAAGAATAATAAGATAAAAAATTATGACATAATAAAACCTAATAAATATAAATTATAAATAAAATAATATTAGTTATTACTAAGATTTATGTAAAATATTTAGAAAAAGATAAAGAACAAAAAAAAATTCACTTTGTGTTCATTAAATTGGTTGAAAAGATTAAAAAAAAAACAAATTGGTAGGAGAGATTAAGAAAATGTGAAAAATAGAAAGGTGAGAGAA